GACTTTGCGTATAGTTCTCTTGCGTCTCTATATACTGGCATGGCCATAAAACCCATATCAGGTCCGGTCCTGAGCCGGTGCCATGTGAGACGCGTTTTTACTGAGCTCCTCGCCACGACACTCATTAATAAATATAGAAGCAGCTATTTAATGTAAAGACCTTGAGCCACACTCACGGACTGAAGCCAATACGTCCCACCCACGGCTTGGAAGTTTGACTTACACGCTCGCTGAAAATGTCTAAAAACCCCCGAAAAGCGCCTGACCAAGGTTAGCTCCAAGCTAGCCAGAGGCTACGCTGCACTTGACCGGGACTCCGACATGAGCCATCCTTTTAGCAATCGCCGAGTTGATTCTCGTTGCTGTAATGTCAGTTACTCTGTAGTTGGTGGTTGAACAAACAACATCAAGTAAAATGTAAATCTTTTTTGTTGTTCTACAGTATTTTAGTTTAGTAGTTTGTTAGGAAACAGAAAGATTATTTGTAGCTAACAAGGTTAAAACTAATAATGATAATAAAAAGAAAGAAAACATTTCTCTGATCAGCAATGAATTGAACTTTTATGTATCCAATCTGTGTCCAAAAAACGGACACTCGGGTGGAAGAAAGACATTATGTGTCTTTGTATCCTCTGTATTACACTGATGTTTCCTTTATACTATTAAATAAGGTTGTTTTATCTTCAAGCTGTATTATTAAAGTTACATACAGCATTTTGAAGGAATTTATATGGAATAAAGTTATTAAAAAAAATATATTATCGAAAACCTCTTCTACCCTGCATTGATATGGTATTTTCATGTGGTTTCTTTTGATGGTGAAAACTTGTATGTATACAGTAAATTATGGAACTTAAAATCAACAGTACTAATATATTTTTACTGTAATAGTAGAAAAAGCTCTACTGTATTTATAATAGTAAAGTTCAACCACAGCTGCCACTGTTTTACTGTAGAATCTAGATTAGATAGAAGTAACTAAAGGATTTGGGGTATAGTAGATGAGAAGTGTTTGCTGATGTAGTTTCCTTAAAGGAATATTTTACCAACTGCACCTTTAAGTCCTTTAATGTAGTAAACTGAGAGTCCAACCTGCTGCGCTCTCATCTTGTCCGCTCTCTGGTTCTGGTGGTAGATCCGGCTGAAGTTGGACACGATGACGGGTACCGGCAGGGCAATCACCAGCACGCCACTGAGAGAGCAGATTGAACCGAAGATCTTCCCTGCGATGGTGTTGGGAACCATGTCACCGTACCTGCAGGAAGGAAACACTGTCATCAGTCAACATGCTGACCGATACATCCATCCATCCATTTTCTGAGGCTTGTTCGGGTCGCAAGAACCAAAGACGTCTTTCTTTACATCCTCCAGGCACATAGAGCTAGCTAACATTACCCAGGCAAGAATACTTCTAATTACTCACATCAATTTGACAACCAACACTTTGACTTTCAGGTCATATGTTCCCTCTGTGGCACCGCCATGACACTTGAACATGAACATTTTATGGCAGCCAAAGATTTATAGCACAGAGACAGCAAGCAACTTGACAATATTCACAAGCTAGTGTACTACTGTAAAATCTAGTTTAAAATGTATTTTCGGTGTCTATGGTTACAGTTGCCGACCTCACCTAGTTTTACTGTCTGCTGTGTCCATGTGAATCCAGCTTTAGTTTTTTTATTTATAAAAAATTAAAGACAAATGATTTTTCAGTTGTGAATATTTCTATCCAAACCAACAAACACTTTCTTTTAAAACAATATTTTAAAAGGTTGAAAAGGTTTTAATGAAGATGATTATTTGTTTGCTTCAGATAGATAGATAGATAGATAGATAGATAGACAGATGCTGATCTTGCTGAGGTTGTTAACACTGTCTCCTGGCTGTAAGGCTGTTTTGTTGCACACACACACTCACAGGTTGCTGGTTGGCTCATGCAGCCTTCACCTTTCATTGTACAGAGCCATAAATCACAGGTAGTGAGACGAGGAAGAGGAGGAGGAGGAGCTTAGAGAGTGGGCAGGAGGCCAGGACGGTTGGTGTGATTGTGCTCAGACTCACTGAGAGACGTTACCGTACGAACCGCAGAAACACCGTCTGCTCTGTTTCACTACAGCTGATGGCACAATTACAGGAAGCAGATTAAAATATAAAGTCCTTTGTCTGTCCAACAGTGTGGGAG